TTATATACTACTGACTGACTGCTGCTTATATATACTACTGACTGCTGCTTTTATATACTACTGACTGCTGCTTATACACTACTGACTGCTTACATACTACTGACTGCTTATACACTACTGCAGGCATCCTCAAAGTCCGGACTCCGGTCCGGATCCGGACCGAACCACAACTCTCTCTGGACTCTGAGCATATTATACTTTTCATATGTATTATCTGTATTATCTGTGTTATCTGTGAGACATCGCCACAACGCAACGAGTCAAAATTCTCCGCTATGTCCACTGCAAACAGCGCTCTGCATGTACGACTGTTCCACTGTCTGTGTGTGTCTGTCAACGCATTGGTCCAATCACATTCAGCATCCCGTCAGCATTTTTTCCCCCCACCAACAGTCTGCGAATCAGAGGCACAGTAGGGCGGGTCTTCGCGGAATGCAGGTGGGAAAAATGCGTGTGTGTTTAAAAAAAAAAAAGTCAGAGCGAGAGTTAACAGCTCATCTAGTTGCATCTGTACTGTAGCTAGTAGCCTAGTTTCACCTACCGGGGTGGCATGGGGTGGCAACTGCCACCCTAAAAATAGGCCTTGCCACCCCAGCTGCCACCCCAGTTGGCAGCTTTGTTTTGAAAGTACAGTTGTGGCTCATCTGACATTTATGAGAGAAAGTCTCTAATGTCCGAGTGCAAGTGAATGCAGCACAAGACGCACGCCTTGTAACCCCTCCCCCGGCCCTGGCGCGAGCGTGGAAATATGATTGCCGGCGATTTCATTTGAACGGTACGGCGCAAAACGAGAAGCATTCGGACCCAAGTACTGAAGGAATGAGGTATTTGCGGTCTACAATGACAGAGAAGAGACTGTCAAGTTTGGCTGTACTCAGCATTGAATCAAAACGCACTAAAGCTTTGGATCTTAATCAGTTTGTGAGGCGTTTTGCTGAACAAAATGGTAATCGCCGCATTCAGCTGTAATAGACATGTCAACTTGATGCTCTGCTCACGGATGAGCATACAAAACTGTTAAGATGATGACTTTACGTGTGTAAATATATTTTTTTCTTTGTGGGGTCTGCCCCCAAAAAACAGTTTTAAGTCCTGAGAAAGTCAAATAAGACGGTGTGTAAAACTACACTGCCCACTGCCCAGACAAAAAGAAATAACCACTTTGATTAACTAGGCCAGTAGGTAAGGACATTCCACTGGATAATAACTGAAGTATAAAAGAATGCATGACTGAAGTGATGGAGACCATGTTTGAAGGCAAACAAAAAGAGGAAATAACAGGTCAAATCAAGCAAATCCCCCTCTCAGATTCCACAGCAACCAGAAGAACATAAATACTGGCTGGTGATTTGATTAATCAGCTTTGTGATGGAATAAAAAATGCACAATGCAATAATGGGAATGCTGAATGAAAGAGGGTGCAGCTGCCTTTATTCATAACTGTGCAGCTCACACTGCGACTCTGAGGGATCAAGCACAGACACAATAACAATGAAAACTGCTGCATACAGATTATTTTTGTTTTTGCAACCTCGTGTTAAGAATCTTGTTGCAACTGTTTAAAAGTTTGAATGACCGTAATAAACGGACCTTTGTCTTATTGAAAACATTTTTTTGGACCTTTAAGATTTGTATTTGAGTACCCCTGCACTACTGACTGCTTATATACTACTGACTGCTTATATACAACTGACTGCTTACATACTACTGACTACTTATACACTACTGACTGCTTATATACTACTGACTGCTTACATACTACTGACTACTTATATACTACTGACTGCTTATATACTACTGACTGCTTATATACTACTGACTGCTTATATACTACTGACTGCTTATATACTAATGACTCAGGGAGGTGGATGACCCGAGGGTAAGGCAGAGGCAGAGAAGGTCTCGAAACAGAAAAGGACCTTTATTGAAGGTCGTCTTGATATACAGCGTACAAACCAGAACTCACTCCTTAGTAATCTCAAAGAACCCACAAAACAAACAGAAAAAACAGAACTTAAATACATGCATAACGAATCAAAGGACAAGACAGAGCTAGGCAGAGCAGGAAAAACACAATGGTACCCGGTGAACAGAATCAAAAATCAAAAAGGAGGGAAAACACAGAGACAGGAAGCAGTCACAGACATAAGACAGGGGGTGAACACTTTTGAAAATGAAACAGGAAAACAGACAGACCGTCACAAAGGGGGAAATAAGTGTTTTAGTTTGGGTGAACTGACCCTTTAAAGCAGACGGTGGAGGGAGCTCTCTGAGTGATGAAGCCTGAATGTGTCTCACTTAAGATCCTCCACTAGAGGACAGTGAAACATCAGATACTGAATCAGGACCCTGAGACACATTCTAACATCCATCAGTGACTGTTTTGACAAATGTAAATGCATATTTAGTTTTTAAAGATCAAATGAGTGAAACCTATTGCCATTTTAGTCTTTTAGCATTAGAGGTAATTTACTGTATAGTAGACTTACACTTCACAACGAGGACCAACATCTTTGACACATTGGAGAGCAACTCTTTAAAACGTGTTTTACTGGAATAACGACTCATAATCAGGGCGTTGCTCAAGCTTTTCCAAATTGGACATTTTTCTTTAGCATTTTCCACTCCTCAACAATATGTCAGTTAAACTTTTATTACAGGTATTTGTGTTCATTGAGCACTGAGGAAATGTAAGAGGAAGGGGTAAGGCTGGTCTGGAGGACCTACTGTAATCCAGGCAGGATATAGGAGTGCTGGGTTTAGTAGTGAACTTTCCTTATAGAAGTGCTCTGGATATTCTATACTATATTCTCACCTTATCTTTGGCTACCAATGAGACACATATGACTCCAACTTGACTGCACTTGTGGTCAAGTTACAGGGGTACTGACCATGTTTAGTAGATGAAAAGGAGTGGCAGGACCTTCAACACTTCCAGACCTCTATGCATCAAACTCTGAACTCCGTTTCCAGGACACTTTTTTGAATCTGTGAAGACGGTAAATATAGAAATGTTGGTGAGGAGGTCCGTGTTCATATTATGGACCAAACATGGATTTAAACATCTCCGACATTAAATGGAGAGCCAGCCAGGAGAGTGCTTGGTCTCTTATGGCGCAGTTCCACTACAGCGCGGAGCTCGCTTTAAGCGTGCCGTGTCGTGCTGTACCCGTTTTTGGTTGCGCTTCCACTAGGCCTAGTTACGGCCCGGCCCGGCCCGGGGCCACTTTTTCACCTCTTTTCTGGCCCGACAAAATTGTGGTTCTATCGGGGCCAACAAACAGGGCTGAGTCGGGCTGAGTATGCTAAACTAGAGAGAGGAGCGCTGGCAAGAGGGCTCCAACTACAACAAGATGGACATATTTGACCGTGATTTAATTGTAATACACGTTTCAAAATGATGCCGAAGTAACAACATACTGATACCGGTTAGTAAAAACCATGAATTAATGCTTTGACAAGTCTGCAGACAGACGGCAGGCGAAAAACCTTTTAAAATTCGTGTTTTTCTAGATGGAGATTGGCTAAGCTAACGCAGTATATGCTCCGACCGTCCACACTCACAACAACGGCCTATACAGACATAAATAAAGCAGCGACTGTATTCACCATGACACAGGCAGTCTGTGGTGTGTACTTGTTTAACTTTTGTCGAGTTTCTGAACATATATAAGGAGCTGTGAGCTCTGAGTGCTAACAGCTAACGGCTGTGTTGTGTTTTCTGGAGTTCTCATTGAAGATGACGTCACGGCTCCGCCTACACTGCGTTACTATAGTAACTACCCCAGTTCCTAAACTGTAATGGAAGCGCAGCATGAAGTGAGTCGGCCCTGTTAAGGCCCAACGCGGCCAAGCCGTACCGAGCCGTACCGAGCGTGGCCGAGGCCGACCGTGTAGTGGAAATGCGGCATTTGTGTATGGGAACTTAGTCTCAGGCGTTTTTCTGTCTGGTCTGAATAAAGAAGCGCCCAGAAAGTACATAGAACTTGATGAAAGTTAACACCAGATTAACTAGAAATAGATGAAGGGAGACAGAAAGAGAAGATGTATGGTGCAGGAATAAAGTGAAGGAACGGACAATTAAGGAATGAAGGGTCAAGGGAAGGAGGGATGAAGGGATTTAGGGATCAAGGGTTCAGGGAGGGATGAAAGGATGAATGGATATGGGGATGAACGATTGAGGGATAGAGGGTTGGGGTGATAAAAGGGAAAGGAAGGGTGGACTAAACAAATATATAAAATATGACTAAAAGCATTTTCCACAAGTTTTGACAAAAAGGCAAATAATTTAAATTGATTCTCAGTTGAAAACTCTGTCTGTGGATCTTCATATCAGAAACATCCCAGATCATTATGAACACTGTGGCTCCTTTCCTTCTAGTGACACATCAGAATCAGGTTTATTACCAGGTAGGTTTACACGTACGAGGAATTTGACTTGATGTCATGGTGCATACATAAAAAATAACATGAACAAATATTAGAAATAATCAAAAATATAGTAAAACAATATTGCAGTATTTACATAGAAATAGAATAGAATAAAAAGGAATAAAATATGGAGTAAAATTCGGCAGTAATAAAAAAAAGAAAATAATGACATATATGGGAGATATACAAAAGCAACACTACTTTGATTTTTCTTTGTATTGCTAGCTAATAATTAAACATTATATACCGCAAATTAATGAAAAGTGAATCAGAAATCGGAAATCTAGAGATTTTAGAACGTGATCTTTTCCAAACACTCGTCCGATGGTCCTTCACTTGTTGTAGAGCTGGCTGTTGATTTATTCTGATTTGAATCTTACACAGTAACATCTAACAAGGTCTTCTAGTGAGCTTATGTTTCATGGAGTGAAAATCTAAACTGTACATGGAGTGAAATGTGATGTGTTTAGGCTCTCTCTGTTTTAAATAGACTTCATTGTCTCTGTCAGCAGGATAGTTATTAACCAAGACACTGATGAGGATTTTTCAAAGTTATTTATTATGTGGAATTAAAAAAAAACTATTTGACGAGACTTTTGTAATATCAACAACTCTGCATATAACAAATAAGCATGTACACATAGTTGAAGCAGTAATATAGAGCACCTGACCATCGGCTGGTCTTAACGATAAATCATGTTTGACACCTCGACATGATTCACTTCAAGCTGCCAGCAGCTCATTCTTCTAAACCTACAAGCTGCTGCTACTGAAAACTGACTATAAAAGCTTTAAGAGTTGAACGTGAATATATCCACTTCGCACACATCCTGCACAGCCTCGCTCTCCACAGGGACATTTCAACGTCCTTCTTCTTTGTTTCCATCAGGTGAGCGTCTGAAGAAAATCACAGAAACTTTGTGTAAAGTTACAGCTGGAACTGTGACTCTAAATGTGGAGTGGGCCTGTTTGATCTGATGCAGGAGGCTCTAACCTGACTGGACTTCACACCATGTCTCCCTGCTCCTCTGTGTCTTCTGTCTGTGCTGCAGTGTCTGAGTCGTTCTCATACTCAGGAACAGAGTCCAACTGATGAAGAGAGAGAAGACACAATTAGACCCTCATTCATGAAACCTGCATATACTTTAAGATTTTATAAAACATTTTTCATATTTTAAAGTTGATGCCAATTATTTCTTGGCTAAATTCATTTCTGGTTTCAACTCAGGAAGTTGTCTTTAAACACAAGTTCTCTTCACATTGCATTTATGAGCCACAGTATAGCTTTGACGAAGGGGAAATGTTGTCAATAGGTCCGCTCTCTCTCACCTCGATGTCTTCAGGTTCAGGTGCTTCAGTGGTGGAGCGCAGAGCTTTCTTCTTCCTGGATTAAGGGCAACAACAAATACAGATTTTATTTCATAACAGTAAACTACAACATGTAAGAAGGATGTTTAAACTGATGAATTTATATTGTTGTACCTCATCCACAGACTCAGGAGAAACACAGGAATCAGAATCAAGACCCCCAGAGTCGTCCTGATGATATTCACTGTCATTGTTGAACTCCCTAGAAACATGAACACATATGTGATACTTCTAACTGCTGGATTGATAAATCACATTGTCAGTGTGATCCACCTCTGACACCATGGAGGTTCCTCCCTGAACACTGACATTTTGAATATGCTTGTGTTCATTCATATTACAAAGTGAATCAGGTCTGGTGAATGTAGAGAACTTACCTGTTCCAACACTCAGATGAAAGGTGGAGTTACTACGTCCTAACTCGTTCTGGGCTCCACAGGAATAACTCCCATTGTGTTCAGCTCTGAAGCCAATGATGTTGAAGATCTGTCCTGAAGCTTTTGGAGAGTCTTCATCCTCCTTGTACCAGGTGTAGTTAGCTGCTGGGTTAGCATCACTGCCACAGGTCAGAGTCACAGGAAGTTTTGGAGAGTCTGAAAGAAATACAATAAATCAACAGAAATGAGTAAAAATACATCATGTTGAATAGAAATGAGAAATAGGGGAGCATCTGGAATTTGGAAGTGTATTTTGAGAGTGTTAGAAAAATATCACTCGTCACCGGCTTGGTCTTCAATATCAGGATACATGTATTTATTATCCTTGCAAGAATGGAAGTATTCATCACACACAGAGCTGCATGTCACAGATAGTTCCCTGAATAGTGTCTTTGACATTCTGATATACAAGAGAGTGTTACAGTCACAAGATGGAGGAATATAAAGCAGTATTCTGGCCTTAGTTCAGATTAGCTAAGACCCACGTAAGCAATAAACATGACAGTCATTGTGTCTATCTCCATAGAGGCTGAATCATCATGGTAATCGTTGTCACATAGCTATCATATGCCTAAAGCAGTGTGTCCTGACGCTCTTCTATCATACATCCGGTTACATTCACAGCTACGTAGGGCCTTTGTTATCATGTGCTACTCTGATATTAGAAGAGTACATTCAGTGTTTTCCCAGCAGACGGGTATCGAAATATAAAATAACATGTTGTTGTGTATATATTTAGTTTTCTGTATTATTGCTGGTTTGAATACCCTGAACATACGTGCAGATTTGGGAGCCAATTGTAAACAAAACTGCATTTCCATCATCTACTGTAGCTGCTCTCCATCTCATTGACCTACAGCAGCAGACTGTGAACAAAGTTGTTATTGGGTGCATGATTCTTTTTAAATCATCTGGGTTTAACTCACATTTCACATCAATAGAGATGGATTCAGATCTTATACTCCCCAGCTTATTCTCAGCTCTGCAGTAATACTGTCCAGAGTCAGAGGACTGGATGGAGCTGAGGACGAGACGTGGTCCTTCACTGAGAGGAGGAACATTACGATTTCCATTCTCCTTGTACCAGGTGTAGTTAGCTGCTGGGTTAGCATCACTGCTACAGGTCAGAGTCACTGAACTGCCCTCCTCTATCTCAGCAGAGGGTCTCACTGACACAGAGGGAGGCTTTGGAGCATCTGGAGATTCAGAGAGACCCGTGTCATTCACAATAGTATTTTTTAAATGTTAACATGGCTTTCTCAGATGATGCATTTTGGATTATGGATCAATTTGGATTAATCGATACATTGCTAGGTCATTATTGTCATAAATATCCTTTAAAAAAAACATTTTAATAACAGTAATTTAAGGATTTAGAGATAGCCTTGTAAAGTTAATAACAGTAAATATTAGTTAAATATAACAATATTGAACAGTCGTTTCTCAATTATGTCATCATTAGCAACTCTATAAAATGTGATTAGAAGTTACTGCCAGTTCACTTTTTGTTACCCACTTGTTCCCTGGATCCCATGTAATGTAAAGCAAGCTGAGCTGAAGAAAGTAGTGATGATAAGTAACATCTTCTCTTGAAACAACTAGACAGATATAAGCTTGTTATCTTTAAATAAACTGTCTTACTCACATTTCACATAAATAGAGATGTTTTCAGATGTGCTACTCCCCAGCTTGTTCTCAGCTTTACATAAATACTGTCCAGAGTCAGAGGACTGGATGGATCTGAAGACAAGACGTGGTCCTTCATTGAAATAAGAAAAGTGTGCATTTTGATTCCTCTTGTACCAGGTGTATGTAGCTGCTGGGTTAGCATCACTGCTACAGGTCAGAGTCACTGAGCTGCCCTCCTTTATCTCAGCAGAGGGTTTTGACAAGAAAGGAATCCTCGGAGCATCTGGAGGAGAAGTGTGAACAGTAAATATTCAGAATGTGTTTCTCACTGCATTAGCTCAAAGGGTATCTACATTATTGAACGCTGAATAGCTGCATTTCGAGTCCTTACAGAGCATTGAATGAGGAACTGATTCCAAAATAACCCTAACTTGAAGGACAGTTGTTGAGTATTTACTAATCACATTTTGTAGAGTACACTGAAAACACTAAAACATTGACTTTAATTAAATGTATTATGTCAATAAATTAAATGTTTTTGCATTAGGTGAGTTGAAAGCAATAATATTAAGTTGAACCTAATATTTTTCATTTAAAATGTATATTATTGCTTTCAACCAACCTAATACAATTATGTGTAATTTGTTGACATAATACATTTAATTAAAGTCAACGTTTCAGTTTTTTCACTGTAGCTAAGGAATATATTTTAGAGAAACAACCGTTAGATATTATGTAAATGAATTTAAATATAATGTAATTAATTGTTCATGGGTATTTCTGAATTGTTATTGGTCATAATAAAGTAATGATTTGTCATTGGTTAAATGCCGTTTAGTGTATCACTTAATCAAGTCACAACTATGAATTGAGTCATGGAATTTAAGGATTTAGAGATAGCCTTGTAAAGTTAATAACAGTAATTATTAGTTAAATATAACAATATTTAACAGTCGTTTCTCAATGATGTCATCATTAGCAACTCTACAACATGTGATTAGAAGTTACTGCCAGTTCACTTTTCGTTACCCGCTTGTTCCCTGGATCCCATGTAATGTAAAGCAAGCTGAGCTGAAGAAAGTAGTGATGATAAGTAACATCTTCTCTTGAAACAACTAGACAGATATAAGCTTGTTATCTTTACATAAACTGTCTTACTCACATTTCACGTCAATACGGATGTTTTCAGATGAGCTACTCCCCAGCTCATTTGTAGCTGAACAGAAATACTCTCCAGAGTGAGAGGACTTGATGGATCTGAAGAAAAGCTGTGGTCCTTTTTTGAAATAATAAAAGTTTGCATGTCCATACCTCTTGTACCAGGTGTATTTAGCTGCTGGGTTAGCATCACTGCTACAGGTCAGAGTCACTGGACTGCCCTCCTTTATCTCAGCAGAGAGTCTTGACAAGTAAGGAATCCTTGGAGCATCTGGAGGAGATGTGTGAACAGTAAATATTCAGAATGTGTTTCTCACTGCATTAGCTCAAAGGTATCTACATTATTGAACGCTGAATAGCTGCATTTCGAGTCCTTACAGAGCATTGGATGAGGAACTGATTCCAAAATAACCCTAACTTGAAGGACAGTTGTTGAGTATTTACTAATCACATTTTGTAGAGTACACTGAAAACACTAAAACATTGACTTTAATTCAATGTTTTATGACAATAAATTAAATGTGTTTGCATTAGGTTAGCTGAAAGCAATAATATTTAGTTGAACCTAATATTTTTAATTTAAAATGTATATTATTGCTTTCAACCAACCTGATACAATTATGTGTAATTTGTTGACATAATACATTTAATTAAAGTCAACGTTTCAGTTTTTTCAGTGTAGCTAAGGAATATATTTTAGAGAAACAACCGTTATATATTATGTAAATGAATTAATATCTACTGTAAATAATTGTTCATGGGTATTTCTGAATTGTTATTGGTCATAATAAAGTAATGATTTGTCATTGGTTAAATGCCGTTTAGTGTATCACTTAATCAAGTCACAACTATGAATTGAGTCATTGAATTTAAGGATGTAGAGATAGCCTTGTAAAGTTAATAACAGTAAATATTAGTTAAATATAACAATATTGAACAGTCGTTTCTCGATGATGTCATCATTAGCAACTCTATAAAATGTGATTAGAAGTTACTGCCAGTTCACTTTTCGTTACCCGCTTGTTCCCTGGATCCCATGTAATGTAAAGCAAGCTGAGCTGAAGAAAGTAGTGATGATAAGTAACATCTTCTCTTGAAACAACTAGACAGATATAAGCTTGTTATCTTTTAATAAACTGTCTTACTCACATTTCACATCAATAAAGATGGTTTCAGATGTGCTACTCCCCAGATCATTTGTAGCTCATACTATATGGATGGGTCATGGTTTACATTGTAATGTAGATCCTGGATGTGTAACACGTCTCCTGCTGATGAGCACTGACAGCTAAAATCATGTGTTTAATCATTTTAAACCTTAACATCTTCATCTTGCTAGCAGACTAACTCTAACCCTGCATGGAGACTGTGATGTTAATCACTGTGCACTAAGTATTCTTGGAGATTAGGATAATACACGTCATATTGAGCTGTACATCTCTCTGTATGATAAACTGTTTTTTTTCATTTATAATACTGTTTTTTCACCTCCTTAATGTTTATTTTAAAGTGGGCCCACATCATGATTAAATTATGTTGCAGCTGCCGACTGAGGTTTTTAGTGAGAATCCAGTTTTTTCATCTTGCTCCTGTAACTTGGAATAACATGAAGAGCAATATAAAGCTAACCTTATTTATGATAGATATTTTGTGATGTTTCTTGCTGCCTACCGGATTTTCTGTTATTGTTGATATTTTGTATTTTTACCTCTGATATGTTGTAAATGATGTCTCTACCAAAATCTATTTCATCTGTATGTTGTTGACCTAGAAAGCTTTTTGTTTCTATAAATAATACTGCTGCTCTGCATTAAGAATCAGAAGACTATTGTTAGGTTTCTATCTGAAATTGTCCATGTATTGAAATGTCAGTGTTTGTGTATGAGTGAACTCACACACTATAGGAGAAGAGAAGGCTTCATGACCTTCCAGAGCACAAGAGATAGTGTCTGTGAGTTGAATCCGGCCTTTATAGGAAGATATCGATGTTGTCGTGAATTTCTCTCCGTTCTTGAACCAGACGTAGGAAACACCAGCTGGACTGCAGCTGCTGTGACACTTCAGCTCTGCATAGGTATTATACTGCCGGTAAGTTGTTCTGATCACCTGCACCTGCAGAGCTGGATATGAGGAAAATAAACAACATTATATCACTCGGTCTAAAATGAAACTGATGATAAATATATATACCCATTAACACAACATTCTAAAGTAGGTGAACAAATATGATAACTCATCCAACAGTAATTACAAAAACTCAACTTCCAGTATGTTTTCATTGTATTGTGTTGGTGTATACAGAATACATCAGTGAGTGTTGATCAGTACCTGTGACAGTCAGAGTTGTACCAGGTAAATCACTCCTCCATTCAAAGCTTGGTGTTTTGAATTTGAAGAGATACTGAGCTGAATCTGAGTCTCTCAGGTCAGAGATCCTCAGAGTGGAGCGTCCTCTCTCTGTGTCAGTGATCTGAACACGACCTGCATCCTGGGAGTTTTTACTAAGGTCCTCAGGTTGAGAGGGATTCTGTCCCTGATGACGACGCTCAGGACTGAACCAGAATTTAGATGTAATACATTCATTACTGCTGTACGTGCAGGAAATGTCCACTGATGATCCTTTGGGGGCACAGATACTTCCTTCAGTATAAGTCAGTGTGTTGCTGTCTCGACCAGTGACACCTGAAAAATAAACATAAATGGTAAGTCACATTCCCATACAGTTAGCTAAGGCTTCCACTAGATGGTGTTATGTTAGAATAAGGTAGTGAAGTGAACTCACACACTGAAGGGGAGAGAGAGTCCTCATATCCTTTCAAAGCACAGGAATAGCTGTCGAGATAATTAAAGTCGACCTGAAGAGAAGATGTTCCTGACAGAGCGTTTCCTCCGTTCTTGTACCAGACGTAATCATTATCAGGTAAATCACAACTGCTCTGACACTTCAGGTTTGCACTGTTGGAATATTTGCGTTCCACCTGCACCGAGAGATCTGTATTTGTGAAGAAGGAACAGGAAGGTTATTTAAGAATAAACTCTCAACATTCATGTATTTAAAAACACATCACAATTATATTATTGTTTCTTAAAGTTGAACATTTGGAACTGATTGGTGTTACCTTTGACAGACAAAGTGACTCCAGGTGAACCACTATATTTTCCTCCTGCTCGGTTTGTTTCAAGCCTGAACCAGTACACAGCTGAGTCGCTCTCTCTCAGGTTTCTGATTCTCAGAGTGCAGATGTTGTTTTCACAGAGATTCTCTACACGACCTGCATACTCTGAGACTGTGGTCAGATCTACAGGTTCACCATCTTTCTGTTTAGACCAGAATGTTTTTTCTACTGTGTTTACACTTCCATTCCATGTAGATGGGTATGTGTAGCTGCATCTTATCTCCACTGTTGATCCTTTCACTGCACAGACCTCAGTAGAAGTGTAAGCCACTCCCCACTCATCCTGACCCTGAACCACTGAAACACAGAGCACATCAGAAACTAGAATCAAAGTTAATCTATAAATTGTTAAACAATACTGTCAACAAACAATTTGAAAATAAACATTTTACAAACTTTACTGGGATAAAGCAGAAAAACATGTGAATTCTTTCTAAGGAACTTTTAAACTGGTACCAGTGATACTTTCTTATTTCTTAATTAAAGGGGACCTATCATGCAAAATGCACTTTTGTACGTCTTTTATACATGAATATGTGTCCCCGGTGTGTCAGGGAACTCACCAAGTGTCAGAAAACACAACCCTCTCTATTTTCCTCCATACCCAAATCTCTAAAAACGGGGCTGCAACGGATCTGATAAAAACTGATCCAGATTTGAACATTTCTCTGACGTCAGGACTGAGGAGCTCCGCCTATATGGCCAACTCTCCACCTATCAGGGGAATGAGAGGTTGCCGTGGCATGGTAACAGCATGGTAACAGCATGGTAACACGACGCTCGTAACTCGGCCCCCTCCTTTGCAGGGGGGCGTGGTCAGCTGCAGCGCATGCAAAGACAGGGTGGAGGAGAGCAAAATAGAGCAAAATGAGGCATGGCTAAAATGCATGATCTGTTTGGTATTTTGAAAAAGAAAACGTATAAATATACCTTATATAGGTATGGCCCTACAATATATTATTCAAATATAGCAAGATAGGTCCACTTTAAACCAGGTACAACAGAAGTCCACACAAAAAGTCTATGGTCAGTTTTACAGTCAGGGCAAAGGAAGATTGGAAAATGCCTTCATATAAATGAACAGTGAATGATTAGCGATCACATTAATTAGAATAGTGTGAGATTCTCTGAACAGTTCCCTCTCTGTTCGCTCTGTGGTCAGGTTGCTGCTGAGGTAAGTGTGAACAAGAACAATAGATGCAGAACACTGAGGTGAGAGCAGCTTCTGTCTGATATACAGATAAGAAAAAGAAGAAGACTGCTTTAAACTCAGGGTGTGGGAATATAACACTGAGGTCAGAGAGGAGAGAAGGAACTAGAAGGGTTTGGTGCAGAGGTATGATCGATAAGAGTTGAGTCAATATGTTATGACTTAGAATAAGAATATCTCTCTAAATCACTTAAACTTAATAAAAACAGAGCTGGAGATTCTTTAAGTCGTCTTAAGAAGAAGACAAAGCAAAATGTTTTCACAGAGAGAGGATGGAACAGTTATGCATACACTATATTCTCATTTTAACGCTTGTAAAAGTGATAAGCAAACTGATATTTGATGCAGGTGATTGGAGCAAAGGACAGTGGCAACGCACGACAAGATCTTCAGAATATCCATCAAAAAAACTAGTAACGTCTTTGAGTTTCTACAATTCTACACACAAATACATTTAAAATGTTTCTGCTTTGCCTTTTACACAAATCCATCCCACTTATTCCCACATGTGACCTGATTTTACAAGTCCCACATTTTCCCAGAATCCCCTCTGTTCATGTGATGAATGTAAGTGTAGATGTACAGTACCTGACACAGAGAGCAGGAAGACAACTAATCCACTCGCTGCTGCAGTTAGACTCATAGCTGCTCCTCTCATCTCTGTGAGACTATAAAACATGTCAGATTAAATAATGTTCACAGGAGGTATACAGAATCATTACATCAATAAACTGTTTCTACTCACAGTGAAGGAGGAACCATGTGTTGAAAGATGCCTTTCCTCTGTCACCAATGAGCAGAAGACGGATATCAGACTGTTAAGAGACAAGATTGACTTCCTCTTGAGACGATTAATATGCATGATGAGCCAAACCCCAGTAACACCCACTGCACAAAAAAAATATATTGTTTTTAAAAAGTATACACGTTAACAGAGACTTCGGTTAAACATTTGTTTCACTGCCAATATAACACTGACACCAGAAAAGAGCATTTAAATTGAGAAGAGAATAACAGTTGATCTCTATGAGCACTGAGGACGTCACACAGTCTGCAGGTGTAGTGAAGGAACAGGAATGCATTCACCTGTGAACCCATGAGGCAGTTTAACTGAACAGGATGAAGAGAACTATATTAATTATAAGAGTGGATGGAAAATGCCATGTCATTGTTCTTGGTTTGTTTCTTCTCTGCTCTCTCTGCGGTCAGGTTGCTTAATGTTTTTGAGAAATGCAGAACTTCGAGATGTGGGAAACTTACATGCCTGCCAACATGAACCACTCACACATGGACTGGTAGGACAGACAATGTTTGATAGATGTGGATTAGAAAACAATACTTTAAATTACTTTGACTTGTTTAAGTGGATCAGTTAGAAAAGCAGTGTGCAGAGATGTCTTACTTTAAGTTAACCGCACTGCATGGAACAGACTTCATATGAACCATCAGCATGGCTAGATGCCACTGGAGGTGAGATAGGAAATACATATTATTATAGTTTTGGTGAAATGCCCCCAAAGAGACTTCCACTAGAAAGTGGAGGGAGCTCTCTGAGTGATGAAGCCTGAATGTGCAACAGTTAAGATCCCCCACTAGAGGACAGAGAAACATCAGATACTGAACAGGACCCTGAAACACATTCTAACATCCAACACTGATAGATACTTTAACATTTGATAAATAAACAATTTTCCTGAAACAAGCATTAGAAAGGATTTAAAATGATAAGGCTAAAACAGTTGATCTCTATGAGCACTGAGGACGTCACACAGTCTGCAGGTGTAGTGAAGGAACAGGAATGCATTAACCTGTGAAACCACGAGGCAGTTTAACTGAACAGGATGAAGAGAACCAAATTAATTATAAGAGAGAATGGAAAATGCCATATCATTTCTCTTGGTTAGTTTCTTCTCTGCTCTCTCTGCGGTCAGGTTGCTTCTGTTTCAGAGAAATGCAGAACTGTGAGACGTGAGAAACTCCCATGTCTGTTAGTGTGAACCCAACATGAACACACACATCACACTCATAATCAAGTGGACTGGTAGGATTTGGACACACAGAGTTTAATGATATGAAAAACACATGTTCAATGACTTTGGATGTTTAGGTGGATCAGTTGAATTAACTGTAAACATATGTCCAATGTTTACATTTATTAAAGCACTTTAACATTTGAAAAACAACCTCACAGCATGCAGCAAACTTTATTATGAATGATTTGCATGTTTAGGAGGTAAGAGAGGACATCAGTACTTTAGTAGTTTGGGTGAATTGACCCTTTAAAGCAGACAGTGGAGGGAGCTCTCTGAGTGATGAAGCCTGAATGTGTCTCACTTAAGACCCCCCAGTAGAGGACAGTGAAACATCAGAAACTGAATCAGGACCCGGAGACAATGTACAGTTTAATATTTAACACTGATTGTTTTGGCACATTTAAATGTAGTTTTCGTCGTTATCTCGATGTAGCAGGATAAACTGTTCAGCCCTATCAACACGGGGCAACCTTTCTAAAGAGGGGTCAGTGTCGCTCTTGCTCCCTCTTGCTCTTTGGCACGAAGGCCACTTCCGGGTTCCGTTTACGTGCTTTCTCCGCTGGCACCGGTGAGTTTGCGGTGGCTGCCGTTTGTTGTATGCTTAGCATGACAAGTAGCATACATACTAAATGTGTATTGCTGGTTGTAGACCCTTGCAGGGATCCTGCAGCCCATGTCTGCTGCCGCTGCTTTATGTCTTAAATGATATGATGAATTGGAAATGGGGGACCCTGATGTAAACAAGACGAAAGTCTTTCTCTGGTCTGCATCCCCTTAACAATTGTATGTTTTGAGCTGTACTGTACTGTACCCAATATACAAGCTGTTAATAAACTTTTCAATCAATCAATCAATCAATCTGCTGAACGAAGCTCTCCTGCTGTGTGTCTTAACTTAGCCTGATCGGTAGGTACGCTTTTTGCTTGTCTCATCCTTCCTGAATAATATGAATGTAGTATTATTATCGTAACATCACCTGCGCTGGAAGCCTAATACAGAAAGACGGCTGTTTTGCCTCAACGTCTGTGCTTCACCGCTACACTGCTGCCTGGCGGGTGTTGCTCTTGGCCTGCATCGTCTGTATTGCCTCTTTGTGTCACTGTGCATTACACTACATGACCACATTTTAAACATTGTTATAGTGGACTGTTCGATTAATTTTTGTTTATGATTAGTTATTGCATTGACCCTGTTGAGTTAAGCTTGTTTTGTTTATTTAATTCAATATTAAGTAGATTGTTGGGTTAATTTCCGTTTCTTTAGTTTAGTTGTTTTCGACCCTGTTCTAAACTTGTTTTGTTTATTTCAGTCGATATTAGTTATATTTCTTAGTATTATTGATTTCTTATTGTGTTTATACTGATCTTATGTGTTGGTTTGTGTATTAATTAGTTTTGACTGTTTCCCCCAGTAATGTGTTTTGTTGGCCCCTCTTTAGTTGCTGAGAGCCAAAGGTGTGTTGGCTCCCCCTGGTGTTGGTGTTCCTTCGTGTGTGTGAGTGTTTAGTGATCACGGGTGCCCTCATTTACTTTGTGGGGATCCCTCTCACCCCTCGTCACCTCCATCCACTGGTAAGCCTCAGCATCCCTTAATTAAGATGTCCCCCTTTATTTCCAGTGTGTATGATGATCTTACTGTGTTTTTTAATGATATTTAATACTTGAAATGAAACATGTGATGAATTGGAACCACCTCTCCTGCCCCTCAGTATTACGAACCTGATGCCTTATTGGTACTTTGAATAATTATTTCCTTGGGTGCAATTCCCAAGGTGGCGTTGTCTGGCTTTTGGTTAAATGTAGATCTTAAATAGGATTTCAAACAAACACTACCACGTGCCGCCACATTAACATTTTATGAGTTTAACCATTTCTACTCAGGTGTGTTTCTGCCAAATCAGAATATGAGCAAGAATACCTGGAATAAGACGAATGAATGCACGAGAGGATAAAGGGAGGCAGGAATGGATGGTGTAGTAGTGAGTTTCCATATAGAAGTGCTCTGTATTATGATCTGTAAACCTTATTGTTGGCTGCGCCTGACAACACATGAAGTCAAGTTACAGAACACTGTCCATATTTAGAAGATGCAGAAGAGGATCATACCTTTGACACTTGGAAAAGCCAGTTCAGTCATTGCTCCTGGGTCTGGTCGTCCGCTGACTAACCACCTGCCAATCTCACTTCTTTCTGTCTCTTTGTATTTTCTCCAAATGAATTTCCGTGCATCTTGTTTGGTCACTAATATATGCCTGTGTATGTTTGCTGTATAATTGAATGGAATATTTATGTAAAGTGTCAAAGTGTTTAGAAAAGCTAAATATAATGTGGATAAAAAAACATGTGGATGTACATTACCTGGCAGAGAGAGAAGGAAGACAACAAATCCACTCGCTGTTAAACTCATAGCTGCTGCTCTCGTCTCCGTGTGGCTTCAGTGACAAAATAACAAAGAAGTTGATTGATGTCCACAAGAAAACCCTTCTACATTAAAACAAAGGGAGCTCTCACGAACCTTAACGTCCCTCTGGGGGCTTGAAGGTAGAAAGGAGACAGAAAGCAGGGGGTTTAAAACACCACTTCCTTCCTCTTCACATTATTGCTTTACATGGTTTGTAGTTCTGCAGAAAGAGAGCAGTTTGTGGTAAACAGAGCACCTCTCCTCACTGACAAGAGAACACACATCCTAATACTAACTACTAATGCAAATTAACATCACTTGATATTATAATGAAACTGCCTGGACTCCATGACTTGAAGAATGCATGCAATAATAATGTGTGCAAAAAAACTACAACATGCTGAAGGTTAGCTATCAGCATTTCTGTCTGTGAAGAGCACGACTGTTGCTGTGCTCACACACTTCACTCACTCACACACTTCACTCACACTTCACTCACTCACACACTTCACTCACACACTTCACTCACTCACACTTCACTCACTCACACACTTCACTCACTCACACACTTCACTCACTCACTCACACACTTCCCTCACTCACACACTTCACTCACTCACACACTTCACTCACTCACACACTTCCCTCACTCACACACTTCACTCACTCACACACTTCACTCATTCACACACTTCACTTACTCACACACTTCACTCACTCACACACTTCACTCACACACTTCTCTCACTCACACACTCACTCACACACTTCACTCACTCACACACTCTCTCACTCACACACTTCACTCACACACACACTTCACTCACTCACACACTTCACTCACACTTCACTCACTCACACACTTCACTCACACACTTCTCTCACTCACACACTTCACTCACACACTTCACTTACTCACACACTTCACTCACTCACACACTTCACTCATTCACACACTTCACTTACTCACACACTTCACTCACTCACACACTTCACTCACACACTTCTCTCACTCACACACTTCACTCACACACTTCACTCACTCACACCCCTCACTCACACACTTCACTCACTCACACACTCACTCACTCACACACTTCCCTCACTCCACACACTTCAACTCCTCACACACTTCACTCATTCACACACTTCACTCACTCACTACACTTCACTACTCACACACTCACTCACCACACATTCACTCACACCACACTCACTCACTCACCACGTCACTACCTCACACACTTCCCTCACTCACACACTTCACTCACTCACACACTTCACTCATTCACACACTTCACTTACTCACACACTTCACTCACTCACACACTTCACTCACTCACACACTTCACTCACTCATACACTTCTCTCACTCACACACTTCACTCACACACTTCACTCACACACTTCACTCACTCACACACTTCACTCACTCACACACTTCACTCACACACTTCACTCACACACTTCTCTCACACACTTCACTCACACACTTCTCTCACTCACTCACACACTTCACTCTCACACTTCACTCACTCACACACTTCACTCACTCACACACTTCACTCACTCACAGACTTCACTCACTCACAGACTTCACTCACACACTTCACTCACACACTCACTCACACACTTCACTCACACACTTCTCTCGCTCACACACTTCTCTCGCTCACACACTTCACTCACTCACACACTTCACTCACACACTTCACTCACACACTTCACTCACACACTTCTCTCACTCACTCACACACTTCTCTCACTCACACACTTCACTCACTCACACACTTCACTCACTCACACACTTCACTCATTCACACACTTCACTTACTCACACACTTCACTCACTCACACACTTCACTCATTCACACACTTCACTTACTCACACACTTCACTCACTCACACACTTCACTCACGCACACACTTCACTCACTCACACACTTCTCTCACTCACACACTTCACTCACACACTTCACTCACACACTTCACTCACTCACACACTTCACTCACTCACACACTTCACTCACACACTTCACTCACACACTTCACTCACACACTTCTCTCACTCACTCACTCACACACTTCACTCACACACTTCACTCACTCACACACTTCACTCACTCACAGACTTCACTCACTCACAGACTTCACTCACACACTTCACTCACACACTTCACTCACACACTTCACTCAAACACTTCACTCACAGACTTCTCTCGCTCACACACTTCACTCACTCACACACTTCACTCACACACTTCACTCACACACTTCACTCACACACTTCTCTCACTCACTCACACACTTCTCTCACTCACACACTTCACTCACTCATACACTTCTCTCTCACACACTTCTCTCACTCACACACTTCACTCACACACTTCACTCACACACTTCTCTCACTCACTCACACACTTCTCTCACTCACACACTTCACTCACACACTTCTCTCACTCACTCACACACTTCACTCACACACTTCACTCACACACTTCACTCACTCACATACTTCTTTCACTCACACACTTCACTCACACACTTCTCTCACTCACTCACTCACACACTTCTCTCACTCACTCACTCACTCACATACTTCTCTCACTCACACACTTCACTCACACACTTCTCTCACTCACTCACACACTTCACTCACTCACACACTTCTCTCACACACTTCACTCACACACTTCTCTCACTCACTCACACACTTCACTCACACACTCACTCACACACTTTCCTTCACTCACTCACATACTTCTCTCACTCACACACTTCACTCACACACTTCTCTCACTCACTCACTCACACACTTCTCTCACTCACTCACTCACTCACATACTTCTCTCACTCACACACTTCACTCACACACTTCTCTCACTTCACGCTACACACGTTCACTCACTCACACACTTCACTCACACACTTCACGCACCACACTTCACTCACACACTTCACCTCACACACTCACTCACTCACACACTTCACTCACTCACACACTTCACCTCACACACTTCACTCACACACTTCTCTCCTCACTCACACACTTCACTCACTCACACACTTCACTCACACCTGCACCTCACATACTTCTCTCACTCACAACACTTCACTCGCTTCACATATCTTCTCTCACTCACACACTTCACTCACACACTTCTCTCACTCACTCACACACTTCACTCACTCACACACTTCACTCACACACTTCACTCACACACTTCACTCACTCATACACTTCTCTCACTCACACACTTCACTCACTCACACACTTCACTCACACACTTCACTCACACACTTCACTCACACACTTCTCTCACTCAGTGTGTCAGCCTTCACTGTGTTCTTTATACCTTCTGATGTATCCTCACAAACTCTGCAGCTTGTTTAGTTTAATATTGTTTCCAGTGTTTTTATTTCAAGTGAACACGTGCAATTATTCTATTTAGAAATGACAGATTAGTGACACTAATGCTATCATTAGCATTAGTGTGGACGAGAGTTATGGACATTTCAACCTTTATTGATGAACTCAAACCAGAACAGAACGAGAGAAAGGTAAACACATGAAGTACAGAGCAAAAGACTAGGGTCAGAATAACAGGTGTAACAACAAAGCAAAATAGATAAATGCAACAAGTTGTGATGGTTATGAACTTAAAGAGTAACAAAGAAATTAACTATTTTAATTGGTGATAATGGAACTTTTATATTTACATAAAAAGATGTCAGAATAAGAATGTGTGAACATTAAGGCCGTACACACACCAAAGATAAATGCGCTTTACAGGCTCTTGGTAATGGTTTTCCATCAGTGAAATACGGCTCTTTACTGACACCTAGTGGCAGCAGAATGAAACTGCAACTACATCAGCAACACATGTTCCTCTGATATCCCAATGTGCTTTTCAAAAACAACATGTATTTTGGAATGGATAAAAAAGTACACAAACAAGTAGTTGTTGATATTTCAGTGTAGACAAGAAGAGGAACATTGTAAAGAAATATTATTTGAATAAAGTTGATAAATGTACAAACAGTGGAAATTGGTTTGTTATCAGTAAATTATAACTCTTTAGTAATATCTACATTTTCCAACAAGCCAGCAGTTAGGGATCAGATCCCTTGTTGCAACATCTCTACATTTTGTAATTTTTTTGCGGCAAAAATCATGTTACACAAGAAATATTAACAATTCAGTACATTAAGCTGTGAAATACTTAACAAAATCTTTACATTTGAGCCATTCAGATTAATAAAAACTAGGCTGAAAACTCATCGCCTCATTCTTATATGAATAATGTTCCTGCTCACCTCGGGGCAGCACTGCTGAACTTGACGGCAGCGTACTCTGAGACTTCCTGTTGCTCCGTGTGTCTGAGGGGCTGAGCTGCTCTCATGTTGGAGTAAAGAGGGTCTGCCTGGTTGTTGGAGAAGTGAACGCTGGCATACTGAAGGTCATCCTGCTGCTCCGGCTGATCAGGTACACACTGCAGGGAGGAAAACACTTTAAACTACACATTTTCACATCAATAGATATTTCATTTACAGAGGAATGGATCCAGGACAGAAAAGGCCAAAGCAACAGCAGCTGTGGTAATGATGGGAAAATATCCCTGCTTTATCAACATGATGCTTTATGACAGAACAGATTAAAGGATAAAAGATAGGAAAACTTCTGGATGAACTTGAAATGTACTCATGTCTAAGAGGAGAATCAAAGAGATTGTGATAGAAATTAACTTTTTCTAGAAGGATGTAAAAAGAGCAGCAAGAGGTCCTTCTCTGTCAGATGAATTTTCTATAAGCACTTAAAGACCATGAAAATGTATACAGTAATATCTAACAAGGTCTTCAAGTGAGCTTATGTTTCATGGAGTGAAAATCTAAACTGTACATGGAGTGAAATGTGATGTTTTTAGGCTCTCTGTTTTAAATAGACTTCATTGTCTCTGTCAGCAGGATAGTTATTAACCAAGACACTGATGAGGATTTTTAAAAGTTATTTATTATGTGGAATTTTAAAAAACAATTTGACGAGACTTTTGTAATATCAACAAATCTGCATATAACAAATAAGCATGTACAGTAATATAGAGCACCTG